TCCCCGTTTTGTCCACACCAATCCTTAATCTGCTCCTATGTTTAATATCCGTTTCTTCAAGTCCAAGTCTTGGATCTCTCCGAACACTTCGTCTATTCAGCTCAGTCCAGAAGTATTTGTAGCGCTGTTTTCGAAACTTGGTTGGGCACCATTCCCTAACGACGATTACTATGCTGTGTCAAGCATGGTTGACACAAGCAGTGGGAAAAGACATCTTCGCCTTCATCCGGTTCGGCAATGACATTTGGCTGTGGTTCTGATCCCAAGAATCGGCAATGAATTTGTCAAAGTTTCTGTTGCACTTGCAAGGGCGGGAAGAGAGGCGCCATCGCTTTGATTCGAGTTGACAGCCGGAATGATGTCATCTTGATTTGGAACTTTCTCCACAATAAAGTCACCAATATCATAATCGAAATGACCAAAGGCTCCCCTGATCATCTCGAACAACTCCTCCGTCAAATTAAACGTCACACGAAAATGTTTTGTTGCTCATATTTCAAAGAAGCGAACATGCAAAGCTCGAGACAGTTGGCGTGGGAGCTCGGGGCTAGGTTGCTGGGAGATCGTGTGGGAAGACATTTAAAAAGTGCAATCAAAAATACCATTAACAGTATGCTTTTTTTTATCATAGTATTCAAGAAAACAATTTTTCACTAAAAATGCAAATTAACTCATATCGAGGTTAAAGCCTGATGACGTGGGTGGGTGTCAAAGGAATCTTGTGATGACGTGAATGAGGCTGTGTGTATTACATTGTTGAAATCAACTGATCAGGAAGATGGTCGAGGCATTGACATCATGGGAGATTATCGTCATGGATGGAGCAAAAATGCATTTGAGAGCGTAATTGTTGGGACATTTATTCTCCCGCAGTGTTTGTTGTTGTTAAACGTGGGTGGGTGTTTACATGTCGTCACCCGTTTACGCATTAGCCAATGACATTTGTGTGTTATCATGACATCATACTGACCTGTCAGATCAGCTCCGCTCCCTGAGTGTGCGTTAGTTCCTACAGCAAATGCCGCTTTATGTCAACACTAACTGCATGTGTTGTTCTCGAAAGTCAGGTAAACCTCAAACTCACCCTCTCATCCACCCATTTCATTTGATCTACTTTCTACCCAGGTTAGAAATGGTCTTCAGCAACCAATGCTTGTCGTAAGAGGCGACGAACAGGATCGGGTAGCCAGGCTCGCTGATTTGGTTGATGCATGTCATCCTTATTCCAATTGAGGACACACTCACCCCACTCCTTGGGAAGACGAAGAAGAATGTGTTCATCACTCTGTCACATAGAAAAGCAACTGTCATGGGGCAAGTAATTATAACTTTCCAGACATCAAGTCTGATTTTTGTCACGGAAAAATTCTTCATTGATGCTGGCGATGGTTGCAAAGTATTCCGGGATCTTTCAGCAAAAATATGACAAAACCCTGGGTGTGGCCTCCAAAACATATTGTTTACCCGGACATGTCGTGCATCGTATGATGTTGTTTTGGTGATGCCAAATTACTTCCCATCTGACCTTCCACTGCAATATTTGCCGCCATGAACACATTTATAATTCACGTGCCCATAAAGACTTCATCAGTAGAGTAATCCACCAAATAAACACATGCTTATAGTTATAAATACCTTCAATGAAATATAGCATACTAGTTTATCTGGTTGTTTATCAATTTTGCGTTTGGATGTGAGTTATGTAAATTTCTACCACATTATATACACTAACGTACAGACAGACGAACACACGCGCACGCACACAAACACATACATACATACATACATACATGCATTACACACACACACACACACACACACACACACACACACACACACACACACACACACACACACACACACACACACACACACATACATACATACATACATACAAAGCACATGTTCATGATGTAGTCGGAATCGTACAATCCTAACATTTTTTATGAATATTGAAAGGGTTTTGTCACTTTGAATTTATTTGATGCTAGGCCACTGACATATCATGGCGACCAGTCCTTATTGTATCCCCTTAATGCCGAGGGCCAGGCACGTATCACCTGGGTATGACGCGGCCAGAATCGACCGACGCTGTATCCACTAGGTCGGTTGTGAGGAGAGGTGAAATAAGGTTTAACGTTGCATCCGAGGTGTGTTTGTGTGTGTGTGTGTGTGTGTGTGTGTGTGTGTGTGTCTGTCTGTCTGTCTGTCTGTCTGTCTGTCTGTTGTGCGTGCGTGTGTGTGTGTTGCTGCTTGTACCAGTGCGGACTAATGCTGATTTATAGTGCTAGCCCACTGAGATACCATGCCGCAGCATAACATGACTCCGAGCCGACCAGTACTGGTTTTTGCCCCTTAATGCCGAGCGCCAGACAGGATAACAACAAGTACCATTTTTAACGCCTTTTGGTATGACGCGGCCGGAGATCGAACCCCCGACCTACCGCTCTCCGGGCGGACTCTCTACTACTTGACCACGAAGGTGGCGGTCCATATTTAAGATGGAGATACTAGTATACCTTTAGGCTGCCAGAAGAATATGGTTCAGTCACAGCCAGCATCAATTCCCAACAATAAATAGTCATGGAGCACAACATCAATACAAAGGTTTTCATCAATATTGAAACCTGCTCACAATAAAAAAAAACGGCGCGTGTTCTATTCTCAGAGTCTAGTTCACAAAACTAGTGCATATATTAGTGGTTAATAATTTCATCTTCTATAACTCATTCTGTATGTATACTATTTGATGGATAAATCTTTATTGAAAATCCAGTAACTAAGTGTATTTTTTACATGTTCTGTTATTAGTGTATATATTATTCCATGGCCCTATAACATTAATCAAATATTCTTATTTATCGAAAAAAAAAGGAAGTGTATCAGATTGTAAAGGTTTATCATGCCATTTTTTGCATCCTTGTGTGGTCCTGTATTCTGATTTACGTTGTTGGGATTGTTGACTGTATCTCTCCATGTATTAGCAATGTTCTTGACAGTTGTGTCATCTTGTAGTATAGCGCCCTTCACATTAAACATTTTGTTAAATTAAAAAAGAACGGTATTTCTTCCGCCTTTCTTCAACGATTATTGGCCTAAGGTGTCAAGTCTGCATTGATACACAATGTGGACGACCGTGAAGATCCGGGTTAGGATTGATCTTCAGCAACCCACAGGATCGGGTGGTCAGGCTCGCTGAGTTAATGCAGGTTATTGTATCCAAATTGAGTAGGTCGATGCTTATGATGACAATCACTGGAATGTATGTCCCCGACTCAACTATTTACAGTTCGCCCCATATAGCCATCTTCCCGAGGCAAAAGAGTTAACTGACTGTAAAAGTCCAGTTTCCACCCTAGCCTGACTGGGCTGGAATTTCTGGGCTCGATCGTAGCGCCACCAGTGGTTGTTACGAGTTATGTCCCGTTTATGTCCCTCCTATTGACAAATCAGATTCCACTTCTCGTATCACTTGCATTTGTTTCAAACAAAATGGCGGCGCCCAGTCAGGACCATCTGATTGATAATCAAGATCTATGTTGTTATAAAACGGGTCTTACATCGCGATGTGCATCAAATCACGTGAGCATTTGGAAAATATCTGTTGACAACGAGATGGCGGAGCACATGCTTTACAAACCCTGCAATCGACCGAAATCAGCACGACAGTTTACGAACAGGATTTCGATTTCGTTGCGCGATTTTGATTGGACTATGTATAAACTCGTTACTCCATAATACCAGCCTAGTTCCGCAAGGGTGGAAACTGGACTTTTATATATAGTCAGTTAACTCTCTTGGCTCGGGAAGATGTCATATAGTTGGAATATTGCTGAGTGCGGTGTTAAACAACGAACACTCAAAGAGAAGCATGATTTCATTTAATGCTGCCTTAAAATATTTAAACAGTGCAGATGCTTTTCATTGTTAACAAGTGAACATATTGCTTACTTATTATAGCTTGCGAGAAACACAAGAATTGTTTAAACACCTTATTTTAATATGTTTATTATGACATAAATTCAAATTTACAGCCAAAAGCTTTCCATTTGAGTATGCCTAAACGTTATATTAATACAAATATGGTGTTGTTTTTTTAACATGCTGAATAATAATTGTAATGGCTGGCCTTCTCAAAAGTCATGCATGTATATAAGGATATCAATACACATTTATACAAAGATATCAAATCATAAATTAGTAGTCTGGTGTTTCGATGCGCCACCGCTACTTCCCCTGTATCAAAGCAAAAGGTTGGTTTGTTTGATTGTTTGTTGTTTAACGCCGCACCAAGCAATATTCCAGCTACATGACGGCGGTCTGGAAAAATAATCGAGTCTGGACTAGACCATCCAGTGAGTGACATCATGAGCATCGATCTACGCAATTGGGATACGATGACATACACCAACCAAGTCAACGAGCCTGACCACCCGACCCCGTTGGTCGCCTCTTAGGACAAGCATAGTTGCCTTTTAAGACACGCATGGTTTGCTGAAGACCTATTCTATCCTGGATCTTCACGGGTCCCAACGCGGCTAGTGGTGACACCCGATGTTGACATTGTTAACTGAGTTGTTACACCGCCCCTCTTTTAGGGCGTATCCCCGTCTCATCTTACCAGGTATGGGCTTTGTCAATGAATTTGTAAACAAAATAAACATTGATCAGACGAATGACCAAATAGTATTTTGTTATTTTGAGGAACATAACATTTACCACTTTATGAGGCACAGTTACTATTTTCCCTTAATGTAAATGAAATATCTGATTATCCCTATCAAAAGTTCAGTAGTATACTGAAGCGCATGCTTTGCACTAGTTCATCCTCTGTGTCATCTGTATCGGTATGATGCAGATGATATTCGTTTTTTACCAATGACTAGTTAACATTAACAGTTGGTATCAAACAATTTATAGTATATTAAATGTTGGCGGTATTCGTTTTATTACCACTGTACGCGCTCCTGGCGTAAGCGTGTCCTATATATTCACATTGCATTAATCCGTGTGTGTTAGTTACGCATCCCAGTCGAACCAGTAGTCCCGCTCCGACTGTTAATTCGAAATATATTTTTCAGAAAAATGCACACCTGCTATCGTGTTACGACATAAAAGCGGCGTGGATTCTAGTTCGGAACACACGGTAAGCACAACGTGCGCTGCCAGTCACCATGGACGTCCTTCAGCTCGAGCGACGTGACGGGGACAGGAAAACTGATGAAGAATCGTTGGGCATGTTGGAAGAGTCAAGGACAAATCCTGGAATAGCCAAACGACCGAAATGGAGTCACAAGGCCGATTATACCTTGTCCATGGTGGGCTATTGTGTCTCCTTGGTCAACTTGTGGAGATTTCCCTACCTTTGCAACAGAAATGGGGGAGGTAGGTTTTACTCTTACTGTCATAACTAGTGACTGTATCATGCTTATTTCAAGCATTTAGCGGAGGCGTCACCCAGGGACTGACGTGTTTGTTTGTTTGTTTGTTTCATGCCGCACTCAGCAATATTCCAGCTATATGACGGCGGTCTGTAAATAATCGAGTCTGGACCAGACAACCTAATGATTGACATGGGATACGATGACATACCTCAACCAAATAAGCGAACCTGACGACCCGTTCCCGTTGGTCGCCTATTCCGACAAGCCTAGTAATACTGCTGAAGAGCTAACCCGGATCTGCACGGGGTTTGACGCGTCGGTCGTCACACAGGTCAGGTCACGTCAGGTCAGGTGAAATGGGGTTTGCTATGGCTTCCAGGATTATTGCACGTGTTTGTGCGTGTTGTGTGTGTGTGTGTGTGTGTGTGTGTGTGTGTGTGTGTGTGTGTGTGTGTGTGTGTGTGTGTGTGTGTGTGTGTGTGTGCGTGCGTGCGTGTGTGTGTGTGTGTGTATGTGTGGCTCTGTGTGTGTGGCTGTGTGTGTGTGGCTGTGGCTGCTTGTACTACTCCGGACTAATGCTGACTTTATAGTTCTAGCAGACTGAGATCCTATACCATGAGTTTAACATGAATACCCCACTCAGAAACAGTATACTGTTAACGTTTTTTGGTGGATATTTCTCCTGGTGGTCGCTCTACCACGAAACATTCTGGGTCCCCAAACATGTCTCGATGACGTGTTATACTGTATGTCATAGTGTCCCAAACGCCAGGATCGATGCACACGATGTTAATGACTGGATTGTCTGGCCCTGACTCGAGTATTTACAGACCGTTGTCATATTGCTGAAATATTGCTGAATTCCCTAAATTACACACAAACGGCATATTGTATAGTTGTCATTGCACGTTATTAATCTCAGTTGTGCTTACATGTCCGGATTCTGCAGACGAACAAGCATTCTTGGCGTAGGAACCGACTAAACATAAACCGGGTTATTACGATGTGTGACCTGATATATTTTATGCCACCGTACGCCGTCGGCGTTGACCAATGCTTATGTTATCAACTACTGGTTGCCTTGTCCGGGCTTTAACTTCAGACTAATATTAATATTCCCCATACGACGACTACGTTAATCCCACAAATTTTCAATGGAGTTTTTGTTGAGGATATATGGCAAAGGCAGTACCCGGATGTTCCAAAAGGTCAAACTGACCATCAATGTTTAGTTTAAACATATTTTATTCTCATGAAAAGGATTGGGCACAAATTATCACAAGTTTAGAACGCCCTCTCCCATAGATTTACATTTATGCTTATTTGCAATTAAAAAAATTAACGACAGTAAGGAAAGAAAAGAAACGTATGTACATTCATATTGCTCATTCAAACCTTTCTGTTTTCTTGATATATGTACGTACATTCCTAAAAATGTTTTCATTCGCATGATTAGGTAAAATTGTATTGCCAACTGGAATCAGGTCAATGTTAACATCACAAGTATGTTTCACAATTAACAAGACTGGGTGCACCAATTCGTTTCCTGCTGATTTAAATAAAGTAAATTCAATGAGAAAATGATATAAATTTTCACATGGGCCATCAATCCTCCACGCACACTGTGCCACGTCTGATCTTAAAACCTCATTAGGATAACGAACCCCTGACAGTCGACAATTGAGGTGGATGGTGTCTGTCCTAAAGCTGAACTTGACACTAGCCCAAAACATCGCTGTGCCAACACAATATTTGCCATGCTCTGTTATCGTACACTAGCTGATAGGACTCATGTGTCTCTAAACACCACGTCGGTCGTTTCTGTAAAGTAGACGAGCCCCGATTCGCCATTCAACTCGGAATGACGCCAACTGTCTGATGACATGACGCCGTGCCCACTCCATTCTGAAACGTTTGTGCTTATTGGTAATCCTGCATTTGATTACCGATAACGCATAGTTCAATCGCTTATTCAACCTAATCTATACATTTCTTCCACCTAGTAAATGATGTAGATTGCAATTAATAAAATACACTACAGTTATGACTCAGCAGCCAAAATTTTTATACATAAAGCTGTCACAGGTATCAGCATCAATCACATATGTTTTTAATCGGCATCAAACGAAATCCTATATCATGAAATTGGATAGCAGCACGCGCACGAAGATGTCATTGGAAGAATGCACAAGCTGAAAAAGAGGAATGAGAAGTACAGTAAACTACGGTTATAACGTACTCAAAGGGACTACTAATTTTAGTTCGTTATAAGCATATATACAGCATAACGACAGAAAATAGTCGGGACAAAAAAGTAGGTTCGTAATATCCGTCAGTTCGTTATAAGCGTGTTCGTTATAAACGTACTTTACTGTACTGTAAGAGCCAGCTGTCATCCGAAATGTGTCTACCGTTAAGTAACATGAAAAGTGTGTAGTTATTCCCACCAGTCGGGCTGTATACCTTCGCCGTTTCGCGTTCACCTGATATCATCATCATTTGATGGTGATTCTGATTCATAAACACATGGTCATGATAATCAACTCACGTTGTTGTGGATAAATGGAACTGGTTAACAATGAGTTTGTTGTGTCGCCCTGATGCGGTGAGGTATGCTGCAGCAACTAAAACTGTATCTGATAACCTTTGTGACACGCAATACTAATGTAATTCAATCTAATTTATGTCTGTACTATAATTAAATATCCTAAAATATAACCACAGGAGGCATCGTTGAAACATTGTGTCAAGTTACATATTAATTAATTTTGTACGGAACAGCGGATTTTAATCTCATTGCATTTGAACCTATATACATGAAGGATTTTAAATTGGTTTACATTCAACATAAGCTCAGTAGCATTTATCAATTATGGAAAGAAACGTTTGGATCGAGAAATATTTCCTTATCCTATCTCTTCACTTGTACACAACATTTTCTCTACACTTATATGGGGGCGGTCGGGTAGCCTAGTGGTTAAAGCGTTCGCTCGTCAAGCCGAGGACCCGGGTTCGATTCCCGATATGGGTACAATGTGTGAAGCCCATTTCTGGTGTCACTCGCCGTGATATTGCTGTAATATTGATAAAAGCGGCGTAAAACCGTACTCACTCACTCTACACTTGTATGAAGCAGGCGTTATTCAAAATTAACATATTGTCTTAAGTTTCAGCAAAATCAGTAAATTCTTGTCAATGGATTGTCTGGTCAAGACTTTATTGTTTACAGTCCGCCGGCGCATTTATAAACTTTGTATGCAAATCGTGTGAGTGAAGAGTGCTACCGGGTACCCTCCTCGCGGACACCTGGTGACATTCACATAGTTTTCAACAATCACTAATTTGCCCTTTACTCCCAATGGAATCTCTTTCGGCAGGTAGTCGAGACTGGTTGTCCCCTTGAGATGACGTTTAATATATTGTAAACACATAGAACGATGCTGTTGCACACTTATGAATGTGATGGATCGGATTTCACATCAGTGTATTCTGAGGAGTCGTTCTGACTGAAGGAATATTATGTACATATTCATATTGTGAATAATGTGTCTTGATATAATTTTATCATCTAGATATAACTGCAGCAACAAAATTAACACGGGCATATAATCCGACACATAACCAAACCGTATAGTTGACTGCAGTCATTTATTGACAACAATTAAACTGACGTCCAAAAGAAACTTTACCAGAGTTTGAAATCACTCTCGCTCAAAAACAACAAAACATACACGCATGAACTAAAGTGTATTGAGAAGATCAATATATAAACATAATCAACACTGAAAATGACAATCATTACGCGACCGAGAATGACGTCAGAGCCCCCCAAAGTTGGATGTGGTACAAAACTCGAGCTTTCAGAATCATGGACAATAGGCAGAGTACATAAACAATCGCTCACGTTCAATAACAAGTCATTAGTAGCGTGTGTGACCACCAAATGCCTCAATACATGCAAAAACTCTTCGACGCACAGAAAAAGTCAGTCGTCTGATGAGGTCACGTGGGATTTGACGCCATTCTTCTTGGAGAGCCAAGATCAGTTCTTGCCGGTTGGCTGGAGAGTGTGGTCGTTGTCGAACACGACGATCCATCAAGTCCCAGAGGTGTTCTATGGGGGACATGTCGGGTGAGCGTGCAGGCCATGGCAGGCCGTTCACGTTGTTGGCTGCGAGGAAGTTAGTGACAATTCTGGCTGTATGGGCTCTGTATGGGCGTTGTCATGCTGATAAATGACACCACGTGGCTGCTGTTGGAGAAATGGTAGGACAATTGGACGAAGAATGTTATCCATGTAACGCTGAGCTGTCAAGTTTCCGTCAACGATGACCAGCGGTGTCCTCTCCTGCCAACAGATCACTCCCCACACCATGACACTCCCTCCACCATATGGTACGACCTCCTGCACGCAACACGCCGCCGTTCGTTCACCCATTTGGCGGTAAACACGTTGTCTTCCATCAGCCCTAAACATACAGAATCGACTTTCGTCAGTGAAGACAACCCTCTGCCAGTCACGTCGATGTCAACGTCGTACAGTCCGGGTCCATCTCAATCGCAGACGACGATGTTGCGCTGTCAAGCTGTCCTCTGTATGGTCTAAAAGCCCTGATTCCATGAGCCTTGGGTCTCCTGGCCACTGTCTGTCGACTAACCCTGTGACCTAAGGCATTTGTCGCCAATGACGTCACTGTCAGGAACCGATTTCGGAGGTGCAAGGTACGCAAGTACCGGTCATCATGGGGCGTGGTCACCCTGGGTCTGCCTGTTCTTGGCCTGTCAGCGGTCCGCCCTGTCTGTCTGTAACGTTGCATCAAGTTGGTAACGGCAACACGGGAGCAACCGAAGGTTCGTGCAATATGGGCATGGGTGGCTCCCATCTGTACCATACCCAAGGCTCGTTCACGTTGTTCGACTGTGAGTCGTGGCATTTCTTTTGTGTTTTTTATCACTGTGGATGTCTTACTTGCCGTTGCAATCGTTTTATACCCTTACCCG